AGGTGCTCCTATGTTGGGTGCATATATATTTATACTTGTTATATTATCTTCTTGGATCAATCCCTTGATCATTATGTAATGTCCTTCTTTGTTTCTTGTTACACTCTTTGTTTTAAAGTCTATTTTGTCTGATAAAAGTGTTGCTGCCCCCAGCTTTGTTTTGATTTTCATTTGCATGGATTATCTTTTCCATCCTCTCACTTTCAATCTGTGTGTGTCTTTAGATCTGAAGTGAGTTTCTTGTAGGCAACATATATACAGGTGTTGTTTCTGTATCCATTAAGCCACTCTGTGTCTTTAGATTGGAGGCTTTAGTCCATTTACATTTAAAATAATTAGTGATAAGTATGTATTCATTGTCATTTTGTTAATTGTTTGGAGGTTATTCTTGAACTTCTTTTCTGTCCCTTCTTCTTTTGCTATTTTCCTTTTTCATTTTATGACTGTTTTTAGTTTCTTATTTGTATTTCTTTCTCTTGTGTGTGTGTATGTGTGTCTACTACTCTGTCCTCCAGTTTGCTGATTTTTCCTATGTATTATCTAACCTACTATTGATTCCTTCTAGTGTATTTTTAAATTTCGGTTATATATTCTTCAGCTCTGATTCCTTTTGTATTTTCTAAGTTTTTGTTAAACATCTTCCTGTGTTCATCCACTTTCCTCCCAAATTCATTGTGCATGTTTATGATCATTACCTTGAACTCTCCATTAGAGACTGCTTATCTCCACTTCACCTAGTTCTTCTTTGCAAGTTTTATCTTATTTTAAAAGGTATTCATTCTGTTATTATTCAAGGAAATACATTTTAAAATGCCAACTATCAAATTGGTGAACATTTAAAAAAGGTCTCAAGAACAATGAGGCTATGAATAAGTGTGTATTTTCATACCCTGCTGGTGGAACTATAAATTGACACTACTTTGAAGGGTAATTTAGCACTATTCATTAATATTTAAATTATGTATTACACATTTCAAAATCTACCATAGAGAATGTATGTATGTGCATAATGGGGCATTTGTAGGAACTCTTTTTGCAGCATTATTTGTGATGGTGTCGTGATATTGTGATTTAATAAGAAATATGTATTTTGGTCTTCATCTCCTATTCCTTGCATAGAGCTCCTAAAACTCTTGTATTTTTCTAAGTGGTAAAAGTAATAGGTACATATTTTGTACTAATATTTGGGTTTTGTCCCCTGCTTCTGAAATAGGTTGTTATTCTTAAGAAGCCCATTTCAACCACTCCTGAGTTTAAGTAGATGACTTTTGGAAACCCACTAAGGATGGGAGTGCTGGTTGCCACAGAAACCATCCATATGATTAGAAGATTGGAATTTTCAGTCTCTACTCCCCAACCTTTAGGAAGGGGAAGGGCTGGAGATGGAGTCCAGTCACCAATGGCAATGATTTAGTCAAGCATGCCTATGGAACTTCTATAAAAACCCTAAACAATGGAGTTTAGGGAGCTTCTGGATTGGTCAAAACATTGAGGTGGTAGAGGGTGGCACTCCCAGACAGGGAATGGAAGGTCCACACCCCTTCCCACATACCTTGCCCTAGGCATCTCTTCTGTTTATCTGTTCATGAATTGGGTCTTTTATAATAAAGGGGAAATAGTAAGGAAAACACTTTCCTGAGTTCTGTGAACTGTTCTAGCAAAGTATTTAATCCTAGAAGGGGTCATGGGAACCCATGATTTCTGGCCAGTTGGTCAGAGATACAAGATACCTGGGACTTGCAATTGGCACCTAAAGTGGAGGGCAGTTTTGTGGGACTGAGCCTTAACTTGTGGGGTTGCACCAACTCCGTGCAGTTAGTGTCAGAATTGAGTTAGTGTCCACTGAGAATTAAGAGAAGTGCTGTATGTGGAAAACCTACACATGTGGTATCAAAAGTGTTGTGAATACAGAAACTGGGTGTAGAAGAAAACAAGAGGTTTTTCTTTTAGATGTGAACAACCTAAATATCCTTCAAAGAAGAATAAGTAAACTACAGTTGAGATAACTATGAAATTTTATGCACAGCCAATAAAAAAAGATTGAAGTAGATCTATGTGTACTAATGTGGGACTAAGCTCCAAAATATGTTGTTGAAGGAAAAAAATAAAACAAGATGAGAAAGACATACCTGGTATGAAACTGTATTCTCTCAGAGGTCCATTTACAACCTTACTATATATTTTCTCCAGGTTCATACATATGCGTAGAAAAAGGTATGAAAGAATAAACACACAATATTTAACAGTGATTACCACTGGAGAAGTAGAAGAAGGCATTGAAATTGAAAGTATGGGTTAAATAGGTCTCTAACCATATTGGTAATTAATTTATTATAAGGAGAAAGTAATGAAAAATTAATTTTAAAATGGAAAAAGCATATTCAAAGTCATGCAGATAAAGAGGATAGTCTAAGATAAACTAAGTAGTCTGACAGAACCAATCAACAAGTAAAAAACTTTTTTCCCCCTATTATACTGCATTTCATATTATCCTTTTCGGTCATGAGAAAAATATTTTGAAAGGAAGCTACAGTGTTTACATTGATTCCAAGTCTGGCAGTCATTTCGAAATTAGATTCTTGCTCAGCTATATATTTCTTTGTCTCTATCCTAAATTTCAGCTCTTAGCCTCTTAAAGTAAATGTTAACCTTCTCATTTCGGTTTTCTGCTTTGTCAGCATGTCATTGGCTCATGTTCTACCTTAATAACAGTATACCATGGAAGGTTTCTGCTTTTATTATAAATGAAAATCTTTGTCTATATGACCTAAGCTGGTGTTCAGTTTCTTTCAGTTTAGTAATGCAGAATGCTGAATACTGAGTGTATGCTGACTTTGAAGAGTGACCAAAACTTTTTACGTTTGGATTTCTAGTTTGAAGCATAATTAGAAGCCTGAACCCTCAAAGAACTGTATCATAGTATTTCCTGCATGACTCTAATATGGATTTTTACAAAGTTAGATCCCAAATATGATAAATCAAAAGAGTTTCCTGGTCTCTATTCAAAATGTAGCATTGTAACACTAGTTTTAAGCTACGTTGTTGATTTTTTAGCATATAATTTATTGACTGTGACACAACATTGGGCAGCTGAAAGGGAGAGGATCAGGCACAACTTGGAGACCAGACGACCCATATGTTTGTGGTGTTTTGTTAGGGCACTTGGGACTTTTTGGAGAGAATACTTAACGACTGCTGAGTACACTGGATATAATTTAAAAGTTGGTTTGAAGTCCTTATAGTATTTTTTAATTTCTGCCTTCCACTCAGACCTCATTATGTCATGAAGTAGGTAAGAGCAACAATAACCGCTC